TAAAGCAACATAAAGATTTTTTAAAATTGTAATGTTAACCGATTTTACTGATACTTAGAAAATTACTGACAAGTTATTTAATAAAATTTAATATTTTATTTACAACATCATTCAACTAGTCAGTTGACAACTATGTATGATGTCACTTTAGCCCAAAATTGCTGCCACCCATAACGAGAACGCTGACAGATTTACAGCTAAATTGTATTTTTTTTTTTAACTTCTAGTATTATTTACTATATTAATAAATGTTTACTTTTGAAGATAATTATAGAAGGTTAATGACGTGTCAGTTCCTTTACAGCAATCACGAACGTGGGCAGTCAAGATAAAAGTGTCTTATTCTCACGGTTGCTAATAATAATACTAAGAAACAATCACACTGATATTGCATAACTTTTATCTTACTATTATTGAATTTGATTCAACTATAATATTTGATATTCTAAGTATGTTTATACTAAAGAAAAAAAAAATTAAAGTTCCTAAAACAAAATTAACTAACTTGTTGGAATTTATCGAAAAATAAAGAATAATGTTTTTAACTATTTTTAAATTTAAATTAATGTAAATTGCTCAAAACATACATAACAAGCAATGGCCTCGGATCAATGAAACAGGAACTTTAGCAATGCTATTTCAAACAATAACGAAAATTAAATTGGTATAGTGCTCTGAAATTTCTCTACAAAGTGATGCAAATGACCTCTCAATTAACTTGCCCGAGCGTAAACAGTGCGGGAAGTGTTATTAGTGTAGTACATCAATGATTTCAGATATAGATGTCTATATGTACTTGTTATTATTTTTTTTACAAGGGACACCCTTTCCTGTCACAGTAATCAGTTTTCAGGCGTCATATGAGAAAAATAAATTAATGACCCCAGGAATATTGAATTTATGAAAACTTATAATATTGAAAATTTTGTCGTTGAAAAAAATATAATATAATGTATGAAACAATTTTAATCCGAATTTAAGGAATAATTTTTGGATCAATAAATATTGACTTTATTTTTTAAATAACATAGCAACGGTATAGTTACCGGTATGTATCATAACGAAAGAGACATTTATGTACATATGAATACATGAGTGACTCGTAATAAAGTATGGAATATTCACTATGTAACAACCTTAACAAGTTTTGTAAAAATAGCTCCAACAAAGTTTAATAAGAATTTTTTAAACATAAAATTTCAAGGATTATACAGTTATGATTTGAAAGAAAATTACAGTGAAATCATTACTTATTACTTCTTTTTACTTATTCAGCTTGAAATGATTATATATTCTACGAAAATTTATCTAAAACCTTAAATACTATATCTTCGTTAATCCACATCGATATATATACTATGGTAATAAATGCATTTCATGTGTGAGTCAGATTGTACTATTAGTATATTCTCATTAATTGCAAAGAAGTCCCGTCTTAAGTTACATGGCATTTTTGGAGCAGTTTAAATAGTTTAATAATCCTATAGGATTAGGAAAAAAAATCTAACCTTGAAGAAATAACCTAGGCTGAGTAAAAGAAAGATAATCTTTTGAAAATAGTAAATGGTATTTTATTGCGATTGCTTTTTTTAGAAATCGAAATAAATAAAGTACAAGTTGTTAGATTCATTTAAGATCCTAGAACATGAACGGTCATACAGTCAGTATTTATAGGAGATTCAAAAAACATATATTAACCAAAAACATATATTAAAATTATACCAGGATGAATCCTGGTATAATTTTCTTACGGTTAATATGAAATCGACGTGTTTAATTTAACGAAATAATTAATGTAAAAATAAAGGGAAATAAGATTTTAAAAAAATTCAATTTACAAAATATTTTATATATAGTAAATATCGTATAGCATTATTTGAACATCATTTACTCCTAAAGTAAACGAATACCAAAAAGTAGAAAATATTGAAATTACAGTAGCACATAAATATGTATATATTTTTTTAAATTGTTTCTATTGCAGTCATTTTAAAAAGCACAATTTCAAATAACTTCACAATAAAATACTTAAAAAGCTGTTTTGTTTGCAACAAAAACGGGAAGAACGGTCGAATAATAAACATCTTGTAGACCGTTGTAACTGAAGGCTCTGCACAATGGATACGATATTGCTTTTGTAAAATGTTGATCTATTTTATTTTATTATTTTTTCTTTTTTTCTTTTTTAAATACACGTTTATCCTAAATTCTTTCAGATATTACTATCACATCAAAAAAGTGTCATTCAATCAAAATAATCATCTAAATAAAAATCCTACTAACAGTTTTGTATACTCTTTGAAACTTTTTTGAAATATTGAAAATATGTTCTTCGCTGTATATTACTCGTTGGTCAGTATCAGATTGACATGCTCAAATTCCTCTCGTGTGACCACATGCAAAATGATTTAAAAAGTTCCCTCATGTGAAATTCAGGTGCAATTTGACAAGCAGCTTCAACGACGTAAATCTTCCAACGTTAAAAAAAATTGACTTTTCTATAGAAGCACTAAATTAACATATATTTTTGATTTTTGAGCTAAATTTTATAAAAACTCAATCTCGCTTGCTTTCATTACCAGATAACTACTTACATTGTTGCGATTCTTATCGTAGTGAAATTTAACATAAAATATAAAAATTAAATGAAATAGTTTAAAAATAAGTCGAAAAATTCTTGTATTTATTTGTACTACTTGAAATCTTCAATGTATCGTATAAATTAAAAAAAACGTCAATTTTTTAACTCTTTCAACAGACTATATTAAAATGCGGTAATAAATTGTTGAACCAGACTTTTTGCAAAATTTTAGATCAAAAGCGAGTTGTTTTATTGAAATTCAACAAGAAAAATAACCGTTCAACGCAGAGCTCGGTTAAAACTGTGCAATCCTTTCAAACAATTTAAGTAGTCCAGAGTAGACAGTCATAATGTATCAGAAAGTTGGTACAAAAAGCTTCATAAAAACTGTTTTATTATTTATATAGATATGTTACTAAATATAAATATATTTTCGTATTAATACGAACCATCTACATTTATGTACCATTTTATTAATATACTAGAAGACCCGGCGAACTTCGTATCGCTCTATAATCAAGAAATATCTGTTACGTTTTTTTATTTATATTTTTGGAGTTTACCTTTAAACCATAAATCTCCGTGTTTTGAAGTGCGACAGAATGATTGACATATTAGTTAGTTGTCAAATCTAATGTCAAAAAAGTTTCTATGGGAAATAGAAAAGGGCTGTTTTTAGGGTTTTCCCCGAAATGAACCTCCACGAATATTTCAAGTCTAAGATAAGACAAATCCGTTCAGCCGTTCTGGAGTTTTAGTGAGACTAACGAACAGCAATTAATTTTTTTCTCATACATATATTATAGTCGCAATTTCTTTTCCATATTTTCCATTTCACCCATCAACACGAAATGAATCCAGGATCGCATCTGTTCCTCATGATAATATTAACTAAATAATAGAACGGTTGTAATAAAAAAACAAATTCCTGCTTCCTCGGAGCGTTGGTGAGGAAGAAAGGGTAAATATTTGATAGTGATGAGAATTTATCGATGTTTCAACCAAAAAAAAAATATAAATATATATATATTATATGTTACAAATAATAATAAATAAAATAAGATTTAATATAGAACGATTATAGTATAGGGGTGTAAAAAAAAATATATTATTAATCCCTACTAATATTATAAATGCGAAAGTAACTCTGTCTGTCTGTCTGTTACGCTTTCACGCCTAAACCACTGAACTGATTTTAATGAAATTTAGTACAGACATAGAGTTGACGTTGAGAAAGAACATAGGATAGTTTATACCCCAGACTTTTGAAAGGTTCTCTTTGAAACGCGATATAAGCGAACTCCACGCGGGCGAAGCTGCGGGCGGAGAGCTATGTAGTATGTTTAATAAAAATTGTGTTACATATACAAAGGTATCAAAATACCCTCAATTCTATACATTAAAGTAATATGCTAAAACCATACAAATAATGTTTTTTGAGTAAACTTAATCTGTACAAGTTGTACACCATCAATATCTGAGGTCGGTACGGCAGCAACATTTCCATGTAGGTCGCATAAAAGTAACATTTTCGCGAACCCCTGAGAACGGCTGCTCAAATATTGAGTCTTGGGAAACATACCGCGCCATCTGGATCCGCTCGGATAAACATATACATATATATACAGTATTTACTTACGATTATATATGCTTAATAATCTAGATTATAGAAAATAATATGATTGTTGATTAAAAGATGTATATTTTTCTTTATATAAGCATATATTTTTTGTTATTACTGACATATATGGCTAGTAAAAAGATATATTAGTGATATTTTTGTAACATATATATAAGATCATTGTACACCCTGGTTTGTTGTGTAATTAAAAATTATATAGTTGAGTTAATTATCAAAAATAACTAAGTGTTAATATTTAAGACTCATGAATTTATGAGACGATTCTGAAATGAAAAACTTTGAAATATCATATATACATATATATGCGCCTATGATATTTTTCCACTTATTCAAAAAAGGTACAACAAAAAATTTACAGACGGCAAACACATTACACCTTCAAAACATCTGTTCATTTGATTAAAGTAGAGAAGCAAATTCTTGGCCAATTTCATTTAAATAAATATTAATATTATATATTAAGTAATATGTAATATGTATATATGTATTATGGCTTCATTTAACCAACATTTTTCTTAACAATTAATTGTCACGCGTAGATGTTGCATCCACAAAGGTCAGCCAGTAAATACATTTTTTATCCAAAGAATTTCCATATTATTAGTAAATTCTTGTACAAGTTCTTCTCGTTCGTGTTAAAGAAATTTATATGAGAATCGTGTTATTTTTTTTTGTACCCACATATATATATATTAAAAATTCATAACCGGAACTGGATTCAAATATTGTATTGTGTAATGCTGAGTAGACGCTGCGAGGGTTAGGCCCTGTTTGTTTTTAGATAGAAGCGAGTTGGACGATCAGTTGGTCGATCAGTTGGAAGATCAGTTGGTCGACCAGTTGGACGATCAGTTGGTCGATCAGTTGGTCGATCAGTTGGACGATCAGTTGGACGATCAGTTGGTCGATCAGTTGGTCGACTAGTTGGACGATCAGTTGGTCGACCAGTTGGTCGACCAGTTGGACGATCAGTTGGTCGACCAGTTGGTCGATCAGTTGGTAGATCAGTTGGACGACCAGTTGGTCGATCAGTTGGTCGACCAGTTGGTCGATCAGTTGGTCGATCAGTTGGTCAACCAGTTGGTCGACCAGTTGGACGATCAGTTGGTCGATCAGTTGGTCGACCAGTTGGTCGATCAGTTGGTAGATCAGTTGGACGATCAGTTGGTCAACCAGTTGCTCGACCAGTTGGACGACCAGTTGGTCGATCAGTTGGTCGATCAGTTGGTCAACCAGTTGGTCGATCAGTTGGTAGATCAGTTGGACGATCAGTTGGTCGATCAGTTGGTCGACCAGTTGAACGATCAGTTGGTCGACCAGTTGGTCGACTAGTTGGACGATCAGTTGGTCGATCAGTTGGTCGATCAGTTGGACGATCAGTTGGTCGACCAGTTGGACGATCAGTTGGTCGATCAGTTGGTCGATCAGTTGGACGATCAGTTGCCCAACCAGTTGGTCGATCAATTGGTCGATCAGTTGATCGATTGAATGAAAATCTTATAATACTGCGATCTCTTTGAAAATCAATGAATTAATTTGCCGACTAGTAACCGAAACGTCGGGATCATCCCTGCTAATTTTATAAGCAAAAGTAACTCTGTCTGTCTGTTACGCTTTCACGCCTAAACCACTGAACTGATTTTAATGAAATTTGATACAGAGATAGAGTTGACCTTGAGAAAGAACGTAGGAAATTTTTCATCCTAGACTTTTGAAAGGTTCTCTTGGAAACACGATGTAACCGAACTCCACGCGAGCGAAGCTGCGGGCGGAAAGCTCGTATAATATATAGAATTCTTACAAATATCAAATTGTCATCCATATGTTATTACGTATCATACGTCATTATATCATTATACGTCAATTACATAGCTGTCAATTGCGTTTTGTTACTCCTGGTCTGATTATGTTTTGTTTTATAGTGACTGAAGTTTCATGTCAAGTCCCACGGGAATGCTGTCGAACGGGATAAAAAGTATCCTATTCCAATTTCATGGCTCTAAACTACCTCCCTGCCAATTTTCAGCTAAATCGGTTGAGCCGTTCTTGAGTTATAAGTGGAGTAACTAACACGACTTTCTTTTATATATATAGATTCTTTTTTCTATGCTACGGCGTCGACTCATTCTAGTTCTATAAATAGCATATTATTATTGGACTGATATTTTTAATTTCAAATAGGCTAAAGATAAAATAAATGGGAAAGTTAATATTTATTGCCATTATTTATCTTATAGGTCGATTGTTTAAAATATTGCTTTAACCACATCTTTCGTTTGCTAATTTAGTTGATATTACGAATATGTTCTTATGTTAGTTTTATATGACAATTATTAATCTAACTTGAGAATAATAATTTCGGCCTCGATTTATATTATAAAGTAAAAAAAAATAAGTAAAGTAATTACTTTAATCTGGATCATAGATACTTTATATCAATTCTCTAATGTTTATTGTATAGCCACACCAAAGATTAAACATAATTATTACGTGCAAGGGACACAGCTCGTTATACAGGGTGACTGGTGAATTACTATCGATATTTGAGGACGTGATATTTGACGATCATATATGACAAAATAAAAATTAATATAACATAAATATTAATAAACTTCTAAGTAAAGTTAACCAAAAGTTATGTAATTAATTATGCATCGTGTGAACACCCTACAGATTAGGTATACACTGACACTCACACATACGCATGTCGTGACGTGGTGTTATATCAACACGTCGCCGCACGCGTCCACACTTGAACACTTGGAACGTGTCAACACTTTATTTATTTATACGGAAATTTGGTCAAAAATTAAGTACCTATTTTTTTTACATAATTCGAATGAGAATCATGTACCGAGTATGCTCCTTAAATATTGATAGTAATTCACCAGTCACCCTGTATACTCGTATCACTCTAATTTGTCTGTAACACCAGTCAATATTGGTATTTTTTTATACTTAGTAATTAAAGCTGATTTAAAAATATGAAACTTAATGCTACTCTTAGAACTGTAACATGTAATTACTGCGCAAACAAGGGAATGAAAGAAATAAGTAATTAATAATTGAATAACGAATTAAATAACAAATGTATTCTATATAAAAGACGTAACCGTACGTGTTGTTTTTTGTCTTGGATTAATCTCTTTGCTGTCATAATTTTTCTGAATTTAATTATAAAATAAAATAATAAATGTGTGCTTTATACTCGACAGCATACGATAGTATGTATAGATAGTGACTGATTAAAACTAGTATGTTTAACAATATTTTCCTTTTTACTTAGAAATCAACTTATTTAAAAAATATAGTTATTTATTACTCTAACATCACGTATTATAAATGTATGTATGTGTAAATAAAATAAACCATGAAAAACACAAACAAATAAAAATAATACCATAACGAAGAGAACAACATCGTAAAATCCAGTTGGAGCTGAAGAACAACGTTTCACTGGTCTTTAGATATGTTTATTTGACGTTACATACATTTTATTACGACGAACAATAATAGTAAAAGGAATGAGGATTCATACAGGAGATGTAAGTATTATGAAAAGTTTCTATAAAAACGTTATAATATTCAATTTCTATACTAAATTGTATACATCAGATATGAAACAAAGTACATCAATCTATTTTAATAATTAGTTTATCTCCCATAAAACCTTAAATTGAATGAAAAGCGTTTCGGTTTAAATATATATTAATTGAGATTATATTTAATTTACCTTATAAACAGTTAGTAATATATTTTTATAATTCTAGAATATGTACCTATTAATCTTTATACATAATATATGTATAGACAAACGAAATGGATAACTTCGTCCATTTTTAAAGTCGGTTCAAAACTTGCTACAACAATTACCGTCTGTCTAACTTCAATTTATGTTTAACATTTTTCTTTTCTTAGTCCTTTTATTATTATTATAATTATGAAGTATTCTTCAGCCGACTACTTGTTCTCTGAATAAATCATATAAGAAACAAAACATGGTTATACAAACAACTGTTCCAGAAAGATAAATGTAGATTTGCTTCCAACGAAAAGCCAATGCGAATATTACCGAGGATAATGAACTGTAGTTTAGGACTTGTATTTTCAGTAGTGTAGTGTTTCTAATAATAAAATTACAATAGGTAGTATTAGTTTACATAAAGTAATATAAATTAATCCAAGTAGTTTTAGTTCTAACTTCTGACTGTAGCTAACACAACTATAGCTAAAGTCTTAAAATTATAATCTATAAGTCAGAATTTTGAGATTTTTATGGATTTACTTAGGGAATTTAATAAATAAGGCCAATTCTTTTAACAATAACCATTATAAATCATATAATAACTTTATTAAAAAATTTAAAGTTGAAGAATCAAATCCCAAGAAATTAAAATGAATTGCGTTTAAAGAGGATCTTGGCGATGAATGCGGCTCTTCAATTATAATTTGTTCACTATATAAAACATTTATATTGGCAAAATATTAAGCAATTTCAGTGTGAATTAAACGTTAGCAAAGAAAAAAAAATATTAAGTCAAATTATTGATTCATCTCTGGTATTTTATTCCACTCAAACATAAATATTGTAATGTTATAAAACTTCTGAGGGAAGCCAAACTCAACAACACTCGTCAATTTATAGGATCGAAACATTAGATTCTCAATCAAAACTTTGTCCAATAGCTTTCCTTATAAACTTTTTCGTTCCATCAAATATTATTAAATAAAAAAATTATTACAAACAGTATGTATTCTCTTTATGTTAATTATTTTTTTAAAAACACTAAAGTATTCAGTGTAAATTCTCTCACAAAAATATTTATTTTTCGAACACATCTAGTGAATCAATGTAAATCCCAGTCTTGCAATACAATAAGTGCAATTCATTTTATTTAAACGTTGGTTTAATTTGTTTCACATTTAACGTAATTGTCACTTTTATCAGAAAGAGGGCCAATGATTACATTCAAATAGAGTTACATTTTTGCAACTACTTTGTAGCTTGTATTTATAACTATTAAAGTAAGAGAAGCTTCAAGATGGGCTTCGAACAGTGGTTCTATATTCAGGAACTTGGTCAAATTTTGTAAACATGATAAGCTTAACAATGAAACCCTCCACCATAACACCTTCATCATCATCGTCATTATCAATAATATCGAGCAGAACTAAAATCTCATATTTCAAGTATTACTGTCACAACAGGATCAATATAATACGTTAATTTTTATTATGATTTAAGAATTATTATTTGAACTAATACAATAAATATATTTTTATTTAATGTTATCAAATAAATGTCACAGCCAACTAGATTAATCAGCCGTCTAATTAACGTCCCAGCTACCAGCTACACGATCAACTATGATGTTCAGACAGTAATAATTTATACTTATGGCACTGAACAATAAAGGCTACGAAAAAAAAGCACCTTTAATATCGTAAGGAATGAATGTTTTACAAAATCAGTAAAAATTAATATTTCCTAGTTTTATTATAGTATATGTACTCCAGCATACATATTATTCTTTTCGCGAATCACAACAATGTTTGAGATGGAAAACTAATATTTGCTACCACAAACTTTGTATTCAAAGCGTTTCTTATTATTGTGTGGAAATGAAGATATATTATGGAAATGAAACTCAGTTTAATTAATAAATTTGATTCGTTTTTATTGTTTTTTCTTGTTAACGAGAAGTAATCTCTAGTATGTAATAGAAAACATTTATTTTATTCGCTGTCAAAAAAATTCGCTATTGTATTTTTCTCGTAATATACTTGTACGAAGTAGCAACTAAAGACATTATTTTATTATATAACATATGTTTTATTGTTCAAGGCATAACTTTTATGCTTCCACTATGTTACATAAATAACTCGGGCTCTCAAGTTCAAATACTCATTGGGTGAAGAGAATTTCCGCCTTATATAAAATATCCACTCAACTTTTTTTGTAACTATCATATGTAGGTAACATGTGTCACAAACAGTATTAATCATTAAGGCTTTAATGTTTTGATTTATTATCATGTTTTTTGCCTCGTTTTCCTTTTGTAATGTATATTAATCATTCAAATCTTTAAATGTATAAAATGTTGTGCTTTGTGCTTTAAATGTTTGTTTAATTTTTTCTTGACATTGTTCTTTTGGCAGCATTCCTTTGACAGGCCCGAGCTGAATACTAACACTAAGCTGATTTTGCACACATTTACATTTACACACATTAATGCTGTGTTAGAGGTTATATTCTTCTCCAATGTATTTTTGCTATGTCTGCCTTTTGAGTAAATTCTAATTATACAACTGTCATATTGGACTATAGTATAGTACTTGTCTTAATGATATACCAGCTGTTTAGTGAATGTAAAATGTATGAAACATCAGATGTGGAAATAAGTTATTATTTTTTTATGAAAAATAGTCTTATAAATAAAATTTCAATTGAATAAATATTCTTTATTTATAATGCT